CTCGTCAAAACATATTCCAGCTTACGGCCGCGAAAAAATCTCCGGACAACCAATGCCACCAGGAGAGCAATACCACATCCCTTCTGAGTGCCCGATGACGAATCCTCCCTTCCCCCCTACGGTCGTCATTGAGCAGGTTGGCGCGAAATAACGAAAATGCAAATGTGATGGTCATCCTGTGACTTTTAAGAACTCTGGCACACGAATCCAAGCCGAAGCTAGGATGGTGACGACAGTCACGAAGATGGCGACCCCGACATCAACACTTTATGTACACGAGGCGCCAAGAAGCTCCTGCAAAGACTACAGTCATGACGACCGTCCGTACTTTTGGCATGTGAAGCTCCAGAAAAGTTCTACAGTGACGACCATCACAAGGATGGGCACGGTGGATGCTTGCGAACGCCAAGAGCACATGTTCGGCTCGAACTCTAACCCCCAACCCACTTCGCTGCGGTTTCAGGGAAAATTCCGCAGATGGACCAAGAACCCAGAATAAGTTAGCCCCGGCTCCATCCATTGGAGAATCGCAAGAGCGCACGACTCCCATATCATCACGGTGGGCTGGGGGGCTGGCCTGAACTTTCAATCCAAAGCTGGATCCAAGAGTACAGGGCCACTCAATGAGCCCGGAGCTGGTGGATTGGTTTGGTTCCACCCGCCCGAGGGAACAGAACTTTTCGGTGCCACCACCCAAAGTTCATACTCGTTCTGAGCTAGTTGTTGTTATTCTGCGTCGGCCAAGTTCCGAATTTCTGTGGGGCTGCCGCCGGCCCCTAGTCACTAGTCGGGAAACACCTGTTTTTGCTACATGTACGCATGTGACAGGGCCAACGTTTGAGAGTTTGAGGTTCCGCAATTTCCTTGCCCACTCCTTCCAATGTCCAAGACCTCTACAACTCCTATTTTCCAAGAATCGTGGACATGAAGCAAACCGTTGGATGTAGGAACTGGCCAACTTCCACGCTTTGCAGGAGTTCTAGAGTCTGAGAGTCTAGAAGCCTTTGGAAGTCGGTGGAAATTTGCGCAGGGTCCGTTGATTGGACTTTGTGATCAATCACTAAGAAGAGTGCTTTATGTTGAGCATGTATTTAAAGCATCAAGAGAAGCTCGTTCATTTCTTTGTCAGGAAGAGGACGGACCCTGATATTTCGAAATGAGAAAAGGGCGACTCTTACATATACAAGAACAAGGAACTCGTCTTCAATAACACGAGTTCGTTCTGAGAAAGGGTTTCTCTTTTTGCTTCTTTGCGCCAGGTTCTCGCCTACAACAGCTTGGACCATTGAAAGAGGGTTCCGGACAATTCGTGGAGGGTTCTCATTTTCTATCAAGGCTAGAGTGGCTTCCTAACAAATCTCCTTGGCCACAAGGCTGGGGAGCAGGCTGGTTAACTTTCTCTCAGGAGACATGAAAGAGGAGCCTCTTGCAAAATGAGAGCAGGCTCCTTTTTCTTGGTAAGTGTGTTATATTCTAGATTCTTGGTAAGAAGATGAGGGGCTTCAGAAAAGTGGTTTATTGCCATGGAGACTAGTAGGGGCCTTTCCATCAAACAAGAGGAAATCTGTGACTTCCCCTTCAGGCGAGGTTCCATCGAGAATGGAGGAACCGTCTTGAGAATCTGACTTCTCTTGCTAACATGACCCTCTTGTTGTGTACCAGAATGAGTGGACGACTTCCGTTTCTTGTTCAACACATGTAAGGAGGTTGCTTTTTGCCACCAAGAAGAAGGGAACCCGTGTTTTTTTTTTTTGTTGTGGGTGTTTTTTTGCTGTGGGTGCTTTTTTCGGGGGCCGCCCCGGTGAGTGAGTGACCTGGGGCGTGTTGCCCCCGCACCCGCAGCAAAAAAAAAAAAACGCGCCCCCGCACCCGCAGCCCCCCCTTCCTCCCCACCCCCCCAGGTGAGTGAGTGACCTGGCGCGTGTTGCCCCCGCACCCGCAGCAAAAAAAAGAACGCGCCCCCGCAGCCGCAGCAAAAAAAAAAAACGCGCCCCCGCACCCGCAGCAAAAAAAACAACGCCCCCCCCCCTTTCCTCCCCACCCCCCAGGTCATTTGTTTTGCAATTTCCTCCCCAACCCCGTCCCCAACGCCCCCCCTCCTTTAAACTGTGCAAGCGTTTTCAAAGCACTGAATCCTTCCCAAGGCCATCATGCGAGCGGAGGGCTGCACCCCCCCCCCCCCTCTTTAAAACCGTGCCAGCTCGCTTCTCAGCATATGAATCCTGTCCAAGCCTATCATGCCAGCATTGGGTTTGCAAATTGGGGGGGGCTGCGCCCCCCCAACCCCCCCGCTTCTTAAAGCCATGCCAGCTTGCTTCAAAGCAAATGAATCCTTTCCGAAACCATCATGAGAGCATTCCCCCCCGCTTGAAGGGGGGGGCGGGGGGGCTGCGCTTTTTAGCCGGGCAAACTTGCTTCAATCATACGAATCCCTTCCAAACCCATGATGATGCGAGCATTGTGTCGCAAATGGGGGGGGCTGCGCCCCCCCCAACCCCCGCGCTTTTTTTAGCCGGCAAGCCTGCTTCAAAGCTTACGAATCCCTTCCAAACCCATGATGCGAGCATTGTGTTTTCAAGTGCGGCGGTCTGCGCAGCCCCCAACCCCCTGAAAAAAGAGGGAATATATGCTTGCTTTCCTACGAACATTCAGACCTTATAGTGGAAGTTGAATTTTCCGTTTAAAAAATGGAGATATAAACGTCTTCTTAGTAAAGAATCGAGAAAATAGAGCTTGTGTTATGAGACATGATCAAAAACACTTGTCGTCTACGAGTCACAAATAGAGATAATGCATGTACTCTTATGACAATATAGAGAATTGGCTTTTCATGTATTCCTCTCTCATGTCTTCCTCGTGAAATAAAGAGAAGAAGTCTGAAAATACTGACAAAATAAGAAACTATAGAACAATAGAGGTTTTCGCTATACAATATAGAGAAATTCGATGCTTCCTATGACAACATAGAGGAAATAGAGGCTTTCATACGAAAATATAGCGAAAATACAAAGTGTTTTCATATTAAAATGTAGAGGTCTTGATATTCAAATATAGAGAATAGAGGTTTTCATGTTCAAATGTTAAGACAATGGAGGTTTGCCTAGTCAGAGACAGGGGTATGGGCTCCTATTAAGTTAGGACAAGAGGAACAAAAACACTTTTAATTGCAAGTCACATATTGAGATAACACAGAGAATAAGTTTCTCATGTATTCCTCTCTCATGTCTTCCTCATTAAATATAGAGGAAAACTATGACGATATAGACAAAAATAGAGAGAAATAGAGGTTTTAGTTATAAAATAGAGAGAAATAGAGGTTTTCGAATTGAAGTATAGAGAAATTAGAAAAACTAGAGGTTTTCATGCTAAATGTAGAGAAAATAGAGGGATTCATATTCAAACATAGAGAAGAAAGAGGTTTTCCTATTCAAATATAGAGGAGAAAGAGGTTTTCCTATTGAAAATTAGAGAAAACAAAGGTTTTCATAGTAAAATATAGAGAAAACAGCAAAAACGCTCCGCACCCGCAGCAAAAAGAAAAAAGGCGCCCCCACGCACCCGCAACAAAAAAAAACGCGCCCCCGCAACAAAAAAAAAAAACGCGCCCCCGCACCCGCAGCAAAAAAAAAAAGGCGCCCCCGCACCCACAGCAAAAAAGCACCCGCAACAAAAAAAAACACTCTTACCCCAAGAAGAAGCTGAGGTTTCTTGAGTTCATATGAAAGAAAATTCGCGCCTCAATAATCAATAGTTTCTGAACATTTTGCATTGTGAGGAGCCTGGTCCGTGCTGACCGAGAATAGGAAAACGAGGATACCCGTGTTGTTGGAGAACGTAGCTTTGGTTTAAGCTTTATCTTTCACAGAAGAAGTTCTGTCTCTTTTTAAGCGGGCAACCGAATAACAGGCGAGCAGCGTTCTCGTGTCTGAATGTCTAAAGACTGACCATTTTCGGTGTTTCTTTAGAACTGGAGATTTTTTCCCTCCTGGAAAAGATGAGGTCTGAGTCTTTTGTCTCTGACAATGCGCGGGGTTATGGGTTGTCTTACTCGGCGTGAACACCGATGGCAAACTCTGTGCTTGTAGTCTAATCTAGGTGGGCAGCATTTCCACGCGTTGGAAGCGCAAACCGTGCTGGGACTCCGATCTCCGCAATGTGCAGATCTGATCCACGTGGGACGGGACGTTGTGGAGATCGGCTGATAGTCTATGTAGTAAAGAAGTGAACGCAACACGCCACACCTTTGATCCAAATTGGGGGCGGGCCGGGGCTTCTGCAATCACCTTGACAAGCCAAGCTGCATTAAAGCTAGCGGTGCAGTTTGCCAACTCTGTGATGAGATGCCGTCAGGGTGTTTCCGTTCCCAACACAAAAAACCAGCAAAAAGCAAACTGCGAACAACAAGCTAGATGCAGAACACAGATTGAAGTCACATTAGTGAATGCAGCGTGAAGACGCATGAGCCGACCACGCCTCGCAATCGTCAGTGTGCGCTTACCACCCCGAGCCAGAAGGAGGCGCTGGCGAAAGTACTGGGTAGGTGTCGCTGCTATGCGAGGTGCAGGTCATGCCAATATATGCCAATCATGAATCGTGCATCATACGTCAGTGAAGGGTTTTGAGCACGCCTTTCAACCTTGACCCACAGTTTCCCTGAGCTAAGCTCAACTCGCCCCCCACTCCCCTCCCTCCCCCACCCACCCCTGATTGATAAACATCCTTCGAAGCATGAGCAACGGGTGTTTTAAGAGTCAGCCTAGTTTTCTTGTACATGTCTGCAACATCGCAGTCGGACGTTGCATAGATCGCAAGGCGTTCAGATTTGGAAGTTCTGGGACTTCTGCGCCTCCCATGGCTCCACCGCCGCCTCCACCGCCTCCGCCGCCACCACCACCTCGACCACGAATCCTGGCCAAATGGCTGTGGCCGAGCGTAGCTGAATGCAGCATTGTTGATGTGAGCTGGTGTGATATTCTGGGAGGTTAGCCCGAACCTGTAAGGCGAGATTGAGCCTTTGCTCTTCCCCGGCTCCGACTCCAAAGAGATCAAGACACCCACCCCTGCAGAGGCCAGTAACGAGGCACTTCATTGACGCATGGTCGCGCGCGGCAATTCGTGATGCCAACTGAGGTGGATGCTGTCCAACAGGGCCTTCTGGGAGGATCGGACTTGCCTATGTACAGCAGCTGCCAAGAGATTCAGCAGCTAGTCGAGAAGAACCGGGTAGTGGTCATTGATGCAGCGACCGGATCTGGGAAATCCACTTTGGTGCCTCTGTGCCTGGTCCAGCAGTGTCATAGCAGGAACTTGGGCTGCCGCATCGTCGTCACCCAGCCGCGAAAGATCGCGGCGAAGGGGCTGGCATGGCGAGTTTCACAGCTGGCGGGGACGAACATCGGAGATCTGGTTGGGTACCGGGTTGGTGGTGACAAGGTGGACCGGGGGGCTCGAGTTGTGTACGTCACAGTAGGCCACCTGTTAGAGGCAGTCGTGCACAATCCAAAGTATTTGGAGACCTTCACACACATCGTTCTGGACGAGGTCCACGAAAGATTCGTGGAAGCCGATTTCCTGATGGCATTCTTGCGCATGGCCTTGTCGCGGCCAGAAACCCAAACGCAACGCCTTGTCATCATGTCTGCGAAATTCCAGAAGAACAAGCTCGCTAGCTTCTTCAAGCCGGCACGTTTGCCAAGCCCAGAACGAGCGGAGTCGGCTGGCATTCTCCTTGCGGGTGGCAGTCCTTTCAGCGTGCAGAACTTTGTTTTGGACGATGTCTACCGCAACTATAGTGGTGTGGCCCGCGGCTGCAAGGAACCGGATTTCGGCCACTTGATGCCTTCCAAAAAGAAGGACATGAAAGAGAGGCAGTGGTCGGACAGACTCACGCAGACATGCCGAAATCTCACCAAGCTGGCTGCTCGCCTGGTGTGCTACCTTTATAGGGAGCATTGTGAGCATGCCATGCAGCGCACCGACCAAGAAGCCCAGGGGCAGTTTGCGAACAGCTGTGTAGTCTTGGCCTTCCTACCAGGTCTAGATCAGATGCATCAGCTCGCCGACAATCTTATGGTGGCATATTCTGAGTTGAAGGATTTCTTAGGTTTACCTGAGACGCCTCCCAACATCATCCTGATGCACTCGGCCCTTGATGAGCGGCGGTATAGAGAAGCATTAGAGAATCCAAAGGAGAACGAGTGGAAGGCCAGAATGTCACAGCTTCATGTCAGGCTTCACACGTGCACTCACGTGCATATGATATTTGTTTGTTTGTGTGTGTATATCTATCTATACCTATTATATATCTTTCTAATACCTATATGTTTTCCCGAGCATCCAAGATCCAAAATCCCTAGGCCCAAGATCCGAGGTTCTAGGCCTAAGACCTACATAAGACATCAAGATCCAAAATCCCAAGGTTTTGTGGCTTAAAAATCACAGATCCGAGATATTCACTTTGGATCTCGGGTTCTTAGGCTTCAAAAAGGGACTGGATCTTGGAATTTTCGGCCCAAAATGCTCAAACAGCTTGGACTTTAAATCATGGAATCTTCGGTCTAGAATTCTTGATTTTAAACTTGGGTTCTTGAGCCTCAATATGTTTATATCTATACGCGTACAAGTATACAGCCTTGCCGCTTGGGGTCCCCGGGAAAGGCAACAGTGTTGTTTTTTCACCACCCTCAACTGTGCACACCACAGTCCGCCACAGAGAACAACAACACAGCGCTATACTGCCACTCTACGAGATAGGAGGACATGACGCGACGATAGGACAGCAGCGAGGACAGATACGAGCAGGACAGATAGCAGGACAGGTGAGCTAGCTGCCATATGGCGCGGCGATTGAACCGAAAAGTACCTCTCAAACAAGAAACGCCACGCCCATCGCACCAAGCCCTCCTTGCCTCCTCCCCCCCGGCCCCGCTTGCCCCCACCAAAAAACTATCACTTCGAACTATCACTTCGATCACTTCGAGCATCCCAGCCTGTCCCAAAGTGTATGCTTGCTGGGCATGGCCATTCTACTAAGACTAGAGGTCGGAGAAAAGCCCTTGTGTTGGGTCACAACACAACAGACTCAATCCACTTTTATTGGATGGAAACCTAAAATGATCATAAGCCAAGCACAGCCTTAGCAAGGAATGTGGCTAAGGATGGACATAGGAATGTTTTTAGGCAGCTAATCCTACTTGCAGCCTACTTGCCTCCCCACACCCCCACCCCCTCGCTCCCCCGCCCCCCCGCGCCCCCCGGATTATTGGACAGTTCCTCCCCCCCCCCGCCACAAAACTCAAGGGGCGTGTGGGACAGCATCCCCGCAAAAGTGAAGATGTAAATACATGAATGAAGTTTTGCATGAAACGCCCGCACACACAGATGAAGGACCTGATTGCAGTACACACCTGGCTTGTTATATTGCGTTCATGTGGCGCCATGAAAGCACAGATCTTTGCTTCTGAGTTTTTGTAGTGCGACACTTTAACAGCAACATAACATGCTGCTGCAGGTGGTCGTGGCCACAAACATTGCAGAGTCCTCCCTGACAGTTCCAGGAGTGAAGACAGTCATTGACTTTGCAATGCACCGCCAGAATGTGTATGACGATCAGGCAAGCCCGTGCGTGAGTGCAGTTCGATGACACGTAGGCACCAATAGTTCTCAACTTTTCTTTCACTTGGTCAAGCCAGAAAAATGCTTCAAAAAGCTTGAGGCCAAGATGTCGTTATTGATGACGACCTGGTGTTCCCAGGCATCATTGGTCCAACGGCGAGGGCGCACTGGGCGAACGAACCCGGGTAAGTACTTCTGCTTCGTTTCGCAGGAGCTCTACAAGGAGCTGCAGGACTTCGACGAGAGTGGTGTTCAAAGGTCCTCGCTCACAAAAGTAGCTTTGCAGGCCGCGCATCTTGCCGACCAGCTCTCCAATCAGACTGTCCGAGCAGGTTTGCCTGTTCGCAAGAAGGGCGTGCAGCCTCAGCAAGGGGGAAGGCAAGACCTGGTTGCGTATTTCGATGGAGGGAGGGGTCAGTGGAAGATCTCGGGCGAAGCTGCCGAGTATTTTGCCAGTGACGACGAACTGGACCTGCTACATCTGAAAGTTTCAAACGTTCTGAATCTCTTGCCTGACCCACCGCCGGACACTCGTATTGAATATGCGACCCAAGAGCTTCAGGATTTGGGGCTTCTCACTTTGGCCGGCCAGCGTCCCACAATCTTGGGTGTTGCCTGCTTGAAACTCCCCCTGGATGTCCCATTGGCGAGATTGGCTGTCCTGGGCTGGGCTTGTGATCTGGGCCTGCATGGTGCCATCCTTGCCTCTGCGCTGTCTCTGTCACAGTGTGACGTGCTGAACAGCCCCTACAACAACCTCACAGAGCTATCAGACTGGGACCTGCAGGCCTTGCGGGCAAACCTGGAGGAACGTCAAAGACTGGACGAAAACCGAATGTCCGAGCCCTTGATGTTGCATAGCCTTTGCTGCCAGTGGTTGCTGGGCCCGGAGTGCCACGTTGGGAAGGTGCCCGAAGACTGGGCGAAACGCAATATAAACCCGAGAATTTGGTCTCAGTTTACAACGAAGCTAGTAGACGTACTCCAGTCCCTGCAGAGCCTTTGTTGCATTTCCAAGCACGTGTAGCAATGTCACACACACGCACACAGACTTATGCGTAGACTCTGTGCAGGCTTTCATCCAGATAAGCTTGTGTTGCCTGTGCTGAGGAGATTCCTTCCAAGATTTGATCCTCTAAGAGAGCCGGTGTACAACATCCTGGACCTGGTTTATGGGACCGCTGCTTACTGCAGACTCTCTGAAGCGCAAGCCGCTATACAGCCGGCCACTTTCTGTGCCTTCAGAATGCTTGTTTTTTTGAGCACACATTTGTCCCAAAAACATCTCGGATGTTGGGTTCGCGATACCGGGGAATGGCGGCGCGGGGTGAAAGCGAAACGGGGAAGAAAACGAAGCGGGGATGAGAACGAAACGGGTTGAAGGCGAAACGGGGATGAAAACGAAGCGGGAATGAGAACAAAACGGGTGATCGGAGCCGCGGGGTGAAAACGAAACGGGGATGAAAACGAAAGGGGGATGGCGTGGGGATCAGAAGGGCCGGATGAAAACGAATCGGGTGAAAACGAAACGGGGATGGCGCGGCGCGGGAAGCGGAGGGATTTTCGTTATTGAATTGTAGTACAAATGTAGTACTGGGAGACAGAGACGGAGGGGCGCGAGTGCGGACTGCGGCGCATACGACGGCGCGTACGGCGGCGTGGGAAGCTGAGGGATTTTCGTTGAATTGTAGTACAAATGTAGTACTGGGAAGACGGATTGGGCGCGAGAGCGGACTGCGGCGCGTACGGTGGCGCGGGAGGCGGAGGGATTTTCGTTGAATTGTAGTACAAATGTAGTGCTGGGAGGACAGACCGGAGGGCGCGAGAGCGGACTGCGGCGCGTGCGATGGCGCGTACGGCGGCGCGGGGAGCGGAGGGATTTTCGTTGAATTGTAGTACAAATGTAGTGTTGGGAGGACCGAGCCGGAGGGGCGCGAGTGCGGACTGCGGCGCGTACGACGGCGCGTACGACGGCGCGTACGGCGGCGCGGGAAGCTGAGGGATTTTCGTTGAACTGTCGTACAAATGTAGTGCTGGGAGGCGAGAGCGGACTGCGGCGCGTACGGCGGCGCGGGAAGCGGAGGGATTTTCCTTGATTTGTAGTGCAAATGCAGCACTGGGAGGACAGAGCCGGAGGAGCGCGAGAGCGGACTGCGGCGCGTACGCGGCGCACCCTGCGGCACGGGAAGCTGAGGAATTGTCGTTGAACTGTACAAGAGTGGGCCCCCCCCCCCCCTTGCAAGTCCAGCTACAAATCCGTTACAACGTCCTTAAGGTCAGTTACATGTCTGCTAAGTACGCCCTAAAAATACAAGCCTGGAGTTTTATATGGAAAGAGATAGGACAAGATAGCAGACATCGGCAAACTACCTTTTTGGGCCCTGTTTTTTCTCCAAAAACATCTCGGATGTTGGGTTCTCGTTTAGGTTCAAAACGCAGAGAGAGCGATACCGGGGAATGGCGGCGCGGCGTGAAAGCGAAACGGGGATGAAAACGAAGCGGGGATGAGAAAAACGGGTGATCAGAGCCGCAGGGTGAAAACGAAACGGGGATGAAAACGAAAGGGAGATGGCATGGGGATCAGAAGGGCCGGATGAAAACGAAACGGGTGAAAACGAAAAGGGGATGGCGCAGAGATCACGATGGCGGGACGAACACCTAGCGGGGTTGAAACGAAACGGGGATGAGGAGGAAACGGGCATGGCGCGGGATCACAACGAGACGGAGCGAAAACGAAACGGGGATGTGAGCGACGCGAAGATGAAAACGATATGAAAACGCAACCGGGAGGGATCTTCGTTGAATGTATTCCGGACTACGGCGCGTGCTGCGGCCGGCGCGTACTGCGGCGCGTACTGCGGCGCGTACTGCGGCGCGGGAAGCTGAGGGATTTTCGTTGAATTGTAATAGTCCAAATATGTAGTACTGGGAGGACAGAGCCGGAGGGGCGCGAGAGCGGACTGCGGCGCGTACGACGGCGCGTACGGCGGCGCGTACGACGGCGCGTACGACGGCGCGGGAAGCTGAGGGATATTCGTTGAATTGTAGTCCAAATGTAGTATACTGGGAGGACAGAGGCGGAGGGCACGAGAGAGGACTGCGGCACGTACGTATATACTTTTCTATAAAATGAGCAGCGTTTTTTTTCTAGGAGCAAGGCTATGTAGAGACGCGATCATTGAAAGTCGGCCGCGTAGCATTTTGCCTGCAGGGCGTAGGTTTGCGTAGGGTCAGCGTAGGCAAGTCTATGCAGTATGAGCGCGTAGGTCCGCGTAGGTTGTCTGTGCTTGCCGCGTAGGTCCGCGTACGTACACGTCAACAACATACTCCGCGCGTAGGTCGCGCGCCTACTAAACATGAGCTGACGCGTAGGCCCGCGTAGGATACCCATGCCATTACAACACCCCACACAATGAAAAAAAAACTGCTCAAATGGGCATACGGAATGGATGTTCAAGTGGGGGTTTCACTCCGGCACTGTTGTGATTCGGATTGTTTTTGGGTTCCTGGCTTGACCTTGTTTTTAGACCCTTGAGAGAATTTTTGGCGTGGACAGACCATGGAGGACTCGCCAAGTGCATGAATTGATACAACGGGGCCCCTTGCAAGCATACATTAACTGTAGTCATCCCATGCTTGAAGTCCAACACTCCCAGATTGTCTTGATAGTCCCTGCAATCCATCCCCTCTTTCCCCAGAGCATTTGTGGAAACTCTCCCCCAGCTTCTCAATCCTCAGGCTTTGGAGCATGGAGTGGCGGCACTACCTGCTCTGCTGACATGGGGCTTGGCTCCAACTGGATTTGTGGCAGTCGGACAAAGTCCTGGCATCTATGACTTGGGAGAGAGTTACAAGCGGTTCAAGAGCCTTGGGTAGGTTTAGTTTCTCGAGTCAGCTCTGCATCTGCAAAGCCCCTGCCGATCCCTGCCGTCCCTGCAACTCTCGAGGAAAGTGGTCAGGGACAGGAATGCCAAAGAGGACGAAGCGTTGTGGTGGCCAGCTGCGCCAGATGCGTCTATGACTAGAGGGATGGCTGCAGCCAATGTCCAGGCAGTCATCGACGCTGCGAGGTGTATGCCACCGCTGTGGACGGAGGAGCATGCGGAGGGCAGCAAAGTCGAAGCGACAACGGTCTGCTTCAGGTGCGATGGGAAACAACAAGACCAGATGCCACTTACTGGCCAGCTGTTGTATCGAATTTGTGGGCCGTACAATGGGAAACAAACAAAAATCAAGACCAAGAGCGCTGAGTACTATGTTGTGCCGCCGGAACACCCGGGAAGCTACAACTGGTACATGCCGAAACGAGATGGTGACGGCTTGAGAGAAGTTCGAGTGAATTGGAAGGCACCGGCCTATTCGCTGATTCATACAAGTCAGCCTGGCGAGAAACAGACACGAATCGGAAAGTGCCGACCGAAGCGATTCCTGGTGGCCAGCGGTGCCGAATACCACAGCCAGCACGGCAAGAGGGAATTTATGATGCGTGGGACCACTGTGCTGCCTGATTCTCGAGGTGGACGGATGGCCTTTATGTGGCTTCTGGCCGCTGGCATGCCACTCGAAGCTGAAATGGTGGCTTTGGCAGCTCCGACTCTTCAGAAGGATGAGTTTGAGGTCCGTGGCCTGTGGATGTGGAAAAGGACATTTCGATTTCCTGACCACGCACTTATGTCCGAAAGTGATTTGCGCGCAGTGAACGAGTTTCGCAAGGCCCTTTTCGAACTGCAGCGGTGCAAGCCTCATCGTTTGGCTGGGTCCTGGCTTGAGCGACCACAGCAGGCAGATGGCGTGTTGCGCCAGTATTTCATCGAGCCTTGTTCAAATAAGGGTCGCATGTCATGCAAACATATGCAAACCGGATCTGCCAGGCCTCGGATCAAACACCTAGGATCAGCGATACAGCCCAGATTGGAGGTTGGGTCCGGGGTGCAGCCTGGGTTTAGGGTGGTCAAGGCTGGCGAAATTCCCTGGTTAGCTTGGCTTCCAACGAAGACAAGGGAGTGATTTTGGGTTGTTCAGGGGCCTCCGCGGTCAGATTCTGTCCTCGATCCCACTCACGCTTACTCCCATTCAAAACATCCTTCATTGGAGAATCCTGCCGAGCCAAGTTGTACCACCGCCGTTAAGAGGCCCCTTTAGAATCTTACATGATAAGTGTGTGCTGCCTGGCATGTGTTGAGAGACATGTGCGAGTGGACGAAGGAGTGCTTGGACCCGAACTCCGAGCCAAGCGAGCTGGAGTTAGCCACAGAGCTTTCCGACCACGCGGAAGTTTTGTCCATCTGCAGCGACAAGGGCAAAGGCCGGGAAATATCAAGCTTTCTGTAAATGTCAAGCTTGCGGACTGTTCGAAGCACCAGTGGGCCTGGACAAGCAAACTCTTCCAGTTTCATGCAGCTCGGTCCACTCACGCCTTTTTGGTCGGGTCTGCTTTGTCTTGTGAGTTTTATGATGTCTGGAGCCATCTGCCGCAGGTGTCACACTTCATGGCCCGGCAGGCGGTTCTCGCTGGATGGCTTCGCAAAGGGTGTACATGGAAGAGCAAGTGCCCCTTGGCTTCATTTTCTGCTCCGTTTCGCAGCCTTCACGCCAACAAGACCTGACCTCCCGTGTGGTGCAAGACACCACGCCATGGAACCAGAGACGTCAAGTAATTGTGCATAGAAATTGCGGTCGTGGCATGTATATAGCTACATACCTCGGGTTTTCACAACAGCCTCTGCCATGACACTTCAGCATGCCTTCAATCATTTTCTGCAGGGTGCCGTTAACACGAACAGCCAGTAGGACTCAGTAGGACCAGTCCGCGGCGCAAGCTCAGGGACGGACGTTTGAAGTGGTCGAGCGGCGCCATATGGGAACGCTGCAATGATGACGTTGAACGACTCCTGCTCGAGGCCACTGTGTCAGCAAAGGCGACTAAAATACAAACATTCGCCAGCCCTGCATGGGAGGACGTGTCTCTGCTCCGCGTGAAGGCGGTATCCATGGCGGCGGAAAAGCTGGTGAAGGCTCCTCGGCCGATATACTGCTCAAGCACATGATGACGTCTGAATGTCGTGTGTGTGTGTGTGAGAGAGACAACCTTGAAAGACAACTGATAGTTCTCCATGTTTTGGTCAGGGGGGCTGGTCACCCTCCCTCTCCTACCCGCACCGCTCGACGCCCCTCACCAACCCCCTTGGTAGAGGTGGCTCGGCGTGGAGAGTTTAGATCAGCCCGATTCTGTAGGGGGCACCTGGGCCATGGACAGGTCATGTGCCAGCGAAAGCGCTGATCCATCGGCCATGAGGTGAAACCCGGACAAGGATTCCATCTACCTGCAAGGGCATCCAAATGGTGTAATGTGCTTAGGCTTTCGTACACATCATTATCGCTTGCACGAATCTATCGAGACTCATCGTCATGTGAAGGCTCAGGTTCCTCTTTGGAATGTCAACCACTGGGAACGACAGGTGGTCATGTTGCTTCTTTTGCTGGTGGTGTTGTTAATTGCACTCCCGTCGTCAGCATCAGTATTCTGCAGCTTCACAAAATCGCTGTTTCGTGGTTCGCAAAGAAGATCAAGGACTCCACATGGGCTTCCAAGAACAAGCTCCCGCATCACATGATTGAGCGGCGATGCATGCGTGCGCGGTGAGTGGGATTTCCATGCGTGCGCGGTGAGTGGGATTTCATTATTCTGCAGCATGCCACCTTGACCCTTTTCGCGATTGGCAGTTCAAGTATCTCAAAGGTTGTTTTTCTGGTCTGGTCGGTTGCGGGCAAGATCCTGAAGTGGACGACCATGTGGTGATTCATCGTCCGAAATTTGTTTGGAAGATAACTTCTGATTTTGACGCATTTTTCGTCGAGAAGGTATACAGTACGGTGTACACATCCATGCACATATTCTCCGCACTCTGTGTGTTCCCTCATGCCCAAAAGACCTCAAAATCCTATTCCCTAAGCTTGGGAATTGACCAAGCCTGTGCCTTTCGCGTGTGCGCTTCCTAAGACAAAGAAGAACTAAGCCACTGCCCGGTCCACTACTGCCTCCAGCAGTACTCCTACTGGCCACGGCTCTCGAAGCAAAAGGGCCTCTAAAGGCAAAGCAGGCTTGCAAGACTCTTGCAAGGCTTCAAATGAAAGGAAACAAAAGCAGGGGGTGGGGGGTGGTGGCGGGGGGTGGGGCAGCCCAGCCCCTGCATCTGCAAACGCAATGCTCACATCAGGGGTTTGGAAAAGGATTCGCGCGTTTTCTTACGCTATGGCATGGTATTTGTAAAGCAAGCTTGCAAAGGCTTCGGGTGAAATCGAACAACAACGGCGGGGGGTAGGACGAGGGGGCGGCGCCCCGCCACAGCCCCCCGCCCCACCGCATATGCATGTTTTCTTAACGCAAGCCCTCTTTCATGGCATGATCTTGTTTATCAAGCAAGCTTATGCAAGCTTGCAAGGCCAAACGATCTGAAGAATGCTCGCCTGATGGGTTGGAGGAGGGTTCATGTTTTCTTGACGCAAGTTCTCTTTGTGGCAGGATCTTCTCATCAAGCACGCTTGCAGGGCTTCAAATCTTTTTTGTTTACATGTATTTCTGTAGTTGTTTCTTTCCTTCATTCATCTTTCTTTCCGTCGGTATTTTGGGAGGAAAACCTCTCTTTCCTCCATACTTTGGAAGGAAATCCTCTACTTCCTTTACATTTTCATATCAAAACATCCATTACATGATCTATTTCCCCTCTACGTATGTTTCCATAGAAAAACCTCTGTTTCCTCCATATGCTCATGGAACTCCTCTACTTCCTGTGTACTTTAAGCGCTATTTGCCATGTATTCTTATATGTTAATAAGAAGCCCAGGAAACAAAAAAGCAAAACGCGAAGAAAAAGTACAAAAGAACTAGGGGGGCCGTTAGCAACAGTGGCTGCCTTCGAAGGAAGTGGAGCAAAAGCCTAGCAGCTGAAGAAGCCAAGGTCATATGGCAAACTGGAAGCTGTGACGTGCCCCAACTGACCAAGCAAAACTATTGCAAGCTAACTGGACAAGCTCAGTGCGACAACCCTAAAAGCTGAGGAAAATTTGCTTGAAATGAGAGACATGATGAGAAACATGGGATGTGTTTTCATTTTTATTTTTCAAGTACGTTTACGAATTTTTCTCTTTTCTCCACCCCCTCAGGGAGCCCTCTCTCTCACCGGTCCGAGAGACCCCCCCCCCCCTTTCCGACAGAACCACCGCGGGGTTTTTTTGGTAGGAAGGCAACCAAAAACACCCAGCAAAGAAAGCCTAATAGGCTCTCTCAGCATAATGCGCATCACTCAGGCCTCAACCGCTGCAGGGCGTCCACGGTCTCCTTTTCCATCGCGTTTGGTGCCATTGCTGTCGAGATGCGCTGGTGGGCAGCGTCACCCTTTGCTTCTCGGCGAATTACCGCCCGTGCCGAGATCCGCCTCGGAGTTGCCCGAGTTGCATTGAGGATGCCCTTGGACTTGGACCTGGCTGATTCCCTTATGGCGCAGTTCAAGCAGATCGCTGATCAGGATCGAGGCCACGACTTTTGGTCGGAGGACGCTCGTCGTGGAGAACAGTATACTTGCACTCTTCAGTGATTTTTCGAGGTGTAGTATCCCGCAATTGTTTGGTGTGTTGCCCCTTGGCTGTGGAATGGAGGTTTCGCATGGCGTGCTAGATGTTTCTTGCCATACTTACAACTCGATGCCCGTGGAATATTCATCTCTGGAAATGTCAAGCCTAGTGGGTTTTTCTCCTAAAACGTCGGAGGGTTCTCGGCAGCATTTTTAAAATGTTGGCATCCTGCTGCGCCCGAGCTGTACCCCTGTCAGCATGTGTCAGCAAAGTTTGGTCGCACGCTGGTGAGAACATCATATCCCAATCCTGTCCTAAGCTAAAGCCCTCAACCCTAAGGTGGCTAGGTAGGTGGCACAAAGTGCCCAACAGCCATTATGCCCTTTCAACCTAGAGTCCGAATGAACATGTTAAAGAGGGAAGGATTGTTTGATACTAAAGCGGGCACAGCATTAGCCTCCAGGAAGAGGACGATGGCGTCACAGATGGGGACGATGATGAGCCTTATGTGGATGCTCGCATTGTTCAGCTCAGGCATGTAGACACGTTTGCGTTGCTTGGTTGTTCTGCGCCGCATGCAACAGATGTCGCCATCATACATTGGTTTATAACAGTCGCATGGGGCACCCGAAATGAAGTCGTTTCCACACTGCCCACGTGAGCACGTTCAAATACGAGCCGAATTTTGTAGATTCAGTCGATCTTCCGTAGTGTCCGTGTCGACAAGGACAGGTCCCTGGAGCGGGTCGATGAGAAATTCATGTGGGCTTTGGCACATCGCGATGACTACAAGCCAGATGCAGATCTACGGCTAGTCGAGAACGCACTTGCTTTCCCCACAGCCACTGTGTGTTGCATTTGCGACGGGGAAGGTGGCACGGCTTGCATGGGTCATTGCCACGCAGCATTATGTGCTCGATTGTTGAGGGGTATTGCGGCGTCATGCAACCACAAAGTGCAGCTCACCGTTGTTTTGCAAATGTGATTTGCAGGGAAAGAGTTCTCGAAGCAGCAGCTACGCAATCCACCTGGCAAGCGGATGTGCAAGGACACTTGACAAGCTGTGCGTGCCAGCGTGTGCCCCGAAGGTACACAGGCATATGACTACCTGTCTACAACTCAACGTGCCATGTTTCCAAAGTCGCGTTTTCGAGTTAGCATGTCGAGCCACGCCCGCCCACAGGAGTGTGTCGGCAACAAACAACAGAAGTCGTATTTACCCGCGCAGAAAGAGATCAAAAAGAACACAGGCCAGCTTATGTGCAGTAAAGTCAGTACAGCACGGCGCTTGAGGAGCCATTTTCCATGGGATGAATTGGGGGGCTAGATGTGGGATGGCAGGTCCACTGAATCAGCCTCCGGCACTGGCAGCAGCCAACGCAACCGCAACCAAGAAGTGCTACTTGCCTCAACTTGCCTCATGTGTCATATCATCCGATTTGTCCTTCCTTTCAGCGGTCATGCCGTAAAACCTCACCGACCTAGGTTCTACCTGTGGACTTGCAGTGACTTCAAGCAATTGCAGCAGTGCTCAGCTTCAGAAGCCAGCAAGCAAGCGGAAATGCAACAACTGTATAGCAAGCGGCAGGTGACCCGCCCGTTTTGATGTAGCATCTGTGGCAGATGCAGGGCTCTTTCAAGTCAGCGTCAGGCCAGTGTTCCCGTGTTCCCGAACGTAGACGTAGACAGCAGCTTTATACCTTGGCCCATGCGGCCAGTTGTTTCCCGCTGCAGATCCTTGGACATTCTTGTGCCTTCTTTGCCAAAGGAATTGCAGCCTGTACAGCCATTACCACCCGAAATGGTGTGCCCTATTGGGTGGTAGCGTTGTGTAGAGCTGTCTGATAGCAAAAGCTGCCGCTTGCTTGCTTTGATATACACGTTTTGTCAAGCTGTGAAGAAGTTACGGTTGTGATGGTTGTGGTTTGTAGTTCAGAATGTAGGGACCATGAATACTTGTGGAAACGTCCACAGCTCACACGCTCCCGATTGCAGTTGAACTTGCTTTCCAACTATATTTCGAGGCATGTTATTGTTGTTTGCAGCGGAAGTTTGGCATCTATGGGGTTTGAAGGGGTATAAGGGGTTGGCATTGGAATCATCACAGGTTTAGAGAAGGGAAAGCAGGAGGATGGAAAGGCACGGGTCAGGAGCAGATATTCATTCGCTAGGCAAGGGCAATGAAAGACTTTGCGTCTTCCTCTCCGCTCTTTTCCGACCTGGTTTTGTTTCTGACAAGTGCTGTTGGTTTTCCAGGCCACGAACCACGCATTTCATGATTAGGTCTTTTCTGGCTTTTCTCCATTCAAAGAGTTCCTCTTGACCTGCTGCGTCCTTGCCCCCAAAGAGTTCGGGAGAATAGCCGCTAATTACATATTGGAGGTGGCAATTCTCTGGAAGCACTTTCTGTCAAGCTGAAAAGCGCCAGGAGAAGCCAGCCAGGAGCCTTGCCCTGCGCCAGAAGCTCTCGATCGCGGAAACTTAACCAGACGCATCCGACTCTGAGTTCACTGAGCACTTGAAACTCCATCCGTGTGGAGGACGTGGCTGCCACGCCTGCGTCTCTGTGCGGGCACCCAGCTTCAGGATGTTTGATGTTGCTGACAGTAATGGAGTTGTTCCAATCTCCAAGCCGCCCTTCCCCACGCCCGTTGTGGGTCTTTTCATTCCTTTGTGCGTCTTCTGAGTCTTCTGCCCCAAGGCTCGTTGTCCCGCTGACCGCCACGTTGCTAGGTACATCATGCTTGTGGGGAACTGCATGGCAATTACAGCCCAGGGAGGATGCAGAATGGTCCAGAGCTGTATGGTCAGTGCTGACGGGGTATTTTCCTCGTAAAACTTGGAGTGCTTGACCACACACCAAATTCCTTCACCTCAGCCACAAGTTTGTAGAAACAACGCTTCCTTTTCTGGAACACTGCAGTTTGTGTTTGTCTGCAGGGTTGCGGCCCAGCACCGTCCCGGACATTCCTCCAGCACTGCGTCGGACCTGGCCCGAGGTGCCCCTGGCTGAAGAGATCTGAAGTTCTCGCAACATGATTACAACACCCATTCACGTGAAGTGCTTGATCAGCACCGCATCAGCGTCGTCGACAACGAACAACTACTACTGCTAATACCTATACTGACTCACCACCACCACCAAGACTGCTGCTACTACTACGACGACGACGACGACGACGACGACGACGACGACGACGACTACGACTACTACGACTACTACGACTACTACTACTACTACTACTACTACTACTACTGCTGCTACTACTACTACTACTACTACTACTACTACTACTACTACTACTACTACTACTAATGCTATTAGTAAGCACCGACATCAACAGAAACGGAAGCAGACGCAGCAACAGAACCTGAAACAACAGCAACACCATGTGCAAGTACATGTGGTTGCAGAGCTCAACGCTGCGAGCAGGCCTCAGCACAGCAATTCTTGAGGCAACAAAAGTCTACTGTTGCATACCCTTCGTCTCAGGCAGTCTGCAGGCGCGCGTTTTGTCACACGAGGCCCTCAGACCCCAAAGACCCCAGCCCCGAAAGAACGAACAATGCCGAAGTTTCCCAAAGGTTTCCAAACAGAGTCCACACAACCACACGCAAGTCTCTCAGGAGACTTTTCTCAGCAACTCCGGAAGGTCGCAGCCTTCTTACTCCCGCGAAAGACTCCCTGTTGAGGCAAGTTTGGAGCAAGCATGAAGTGGCCGTTAGCAGAAAAGCACCCCGAAGTCAGAAAGCAATGTCTGCCCCGAAGTCCATGGGACATGTTCTGGCGTAAGCCTCGTGTGTCAAGGACTTGG